TCTTTTTAAGTGGGAGAACTTGCACAATTGGTGGCTGACTAAATACTTTTTTGCCCCACTGTAGGTACATATACTTTTCATATGTATACATGCATACTAATGAACAAGCAGAACAAATAGTGCAATTACCATATTTTTCAGACTATAAGACGCACCAAGATTTTGAAGAGGTCAATTTTTTAAAAAGTTTTTGTTCTCCCCGGCCCACAGGAGCACTCTGAACGTCTCCCAAACCCTCTGCTCATCTCATTTCTTGTGAAAAAGGGCCATGCAGAGAGTTGAAGAGGTCTGAAAAGTGCTCCTGTAGGCCAGGGAGGGCAAAAATGTGACGCGTGGGGGGGTTGGAAGCGAAAAACGGGGCGTGCAGAGGGTGTGGAAGACCTGTAGAGTGCTCTTGGGGGCTGGGGAGGGCAAAAAATGAGCAAAAAACAGCCAATGAATCAAATAAGTAAACAAAAAACACTAGGGATATGTTAGTATGATATGTGTATGAATTATAGTAGAAAGAAAAGTGAATGAAACAAACATTTAGACAGGCATTTTGCTTTTGGCAGTCTTAGAAATATACAGGAACAGCATGATATAAAATAGGTAGAATGTCCTATATATTTTATTTGTAGTTTTTATGCATAATCTTCAATGTTAGTTTGAGATGAGGCATTTCATGAATCTTGACAGTGCATGAGTTCACAATTCTGGAAAAAAAAGTATTATTCTGTATTTGTATCTTATAGCACAGCACATTCATAGTAAAATTGTGCTATGTAGAATAATAATATAGTTATGTCCAGCTAGGGTATAATCCTATTGCGTGGACTCATTCTGTCATTTTATTCATGATAACAGGACCACTTTGCAGGCCTCCCAAACCCTCTGCACGTCCATTTTTGCGAAAAACGGGATGCACGAGGCAGGGTTTCGGGATGCCAAAAATGCTGTATTCAGTGTGTAAGACACACCCAGATTGAGTCCATTCAACAGGATTATATCCTAGCTGAATATAACTATATTATTATTCTACATAACACAATTTTACTATGAATGTGCTATAAGATACAAACACAGAAGCAATTTAAAACTACCTCTGCATTATAAAAAATGATGTCAGCAGATACAGATATGAAAATTACCCACTGACGCTGGCAGAAGGTTAGTACTATGTAGCTTATATTGTAATTTTCTTCAATAATAATTGAGTAACCAGAATCAACTATGAAACAGGGGTTAAACTGGACCTAAACTCCAACCTCATAGAATTTAAATAGCATATGGAATTTGAGAGCCACCACCTCAAAAACCTGGGAAAAACTGTTCTAGTACTCATTTGTTTAGCAATGCACCATAGAACACTTACTGCCACATGCCCATTTTCTTCACAAAGATATCGCCGGACATCATTTAGTGCTGCTAAGGCACACTTTCTTAAAAAGAAGAGACAACACCCTGGTTATACCCCTGACAAGACTTCAAAGTTACAAATACACAGGGCTATTTCTAGCATTATTAAAAGACTGTACACAAAATAGGACTCAGCCTTACATACAAAAGCATTGAAAAGGCATGCTTCAGAAATGCTGAAGCAACTTATGTGTCTTCCTCCAGTTCACAGATTATGCTCAATAAAATTAAAACAATGATTACAGGAAGAAAACTTAAGAATGAGCCACGCATCTCTCAAGACAGCTATCCTACTTTCTCACCTTGGTAGAAACAACCAACAGCATCAGCTATTTTCTAATTTGTTAACATCAACATTCCTTTAGACCAAAACAGCAACATGATGCCAACAGAAATTGGCATATGACCAACTTACTTTCGGATTTTCAGGGCTTCTTTATTGTCTGGCAAGAAGAATTCAAAGGACTTGTATGTTTTTACCAAATCTCGACGGTACTGACCAACATTAAACTCTGTGTAGAAAAGTCAAGGAGAAAAATTGAGTTTTTATTTTCTTCTATAATGTACATTTATAGAATAAGATGTACAGAGATGACTTATCACTGCCACTAAATAAGGTATAGGTTATCTCAAATAGCCCCAAAAATTATTATACATTATCATCTTGAAAGTCTATGGAGATTCTCCAGGTCATGGTTGTCCCAAAGGTGCTTTTTCAAGAGCTGAAGAAGCTTCTTGGAAGTGTCTTCTTGAAAAAGCACCTTTGGGGTGTAATCTTGAAACCAGATAACTTTACAATTATACCCTAAATATTGTTTATAGCAAGCTATGAAGGGCACTTTTCCAGTTCTTCTCAGATCCAATTTTTCCTGTGAAGCTTTTAGCTGACTCTTACAATACAACTTAAATCTGTGATTAGTTCTAGGTAGATATAACTGAAAACAAAGCATCTTAGCTTCATTTTATATTTCCTTCCATTTTCCTTTCCTTACTTTTAATTGAAAGCAGTTTAGAATATTGAACCAACTTTTTAAAAATTGGTTAAGCACTATGCACACTAGTGACATTTTTAGATAAAAAATAACAGTAATAATACCTTTAACCAATAATATATTTTACCTTGGTTAACCAAACATCAACATCTACTTATCCTGAATCCTTAGAAAGGACTTGATAGATTGATAAAAATGCCAAATTCAGTCTAAACACTAGGCTGACTATGTAACAAACCAATAAAAAACTTATTCTGTTACATTTTTTCTGTTTTATTATAATTATAAAACATATATATTACATGTAATATTAATACAGTGTGGACTAGAGATTATTAACACTCTAAAGTTTAAATAACATAAGACTGTTAAAGATAGAAAAGATACTATACCAGTATTAACTGATTTAAAATACCAATTTTATAAGCATAAGAGTCATTTAATTGGAAAGATGGCCGACATATAAATGTAATAAATAAAAATAAATTTCTGCTTAAGCTGATTACGTAATACTTTCCACTATATTGTTAAAAAGAATACAGACAAACCCAAATAGGCAACAACATCTAAACAGAAAAAAAGGAAAGAAAATAATGGCTACTTGTATAATATACTTTTAGGTGCCTTTAGAAACCAAAGGGGTTTATATTTGCCATGCTATGTGATACATTGTATTTATGGGAACAATTCCTACCTAAATTTTGGTTAAACCTCTGTTATGTGAACACTCACCTTTTGTAGGCACTCCAATCCAGTTTAAGTAGCGTGTCAATTTTTTTGATATGTAAGTTTTTCCTCTTGCTGGAAGGCCAACCATTACAATCAGAGTAGGACAATTTGTCATGCATACTGTAAAAAAAATGGCAGAGTTAGTGTTCATGAAAAACAGGAGTATCAGTCACAGAGCTGAAGACTAAATTGGGAAATAGCTGCATCTTTTTATGGGAATAATAGCACTCCAGGGAGAGCCTTGTCATTTTGATGAAGCATTCAAAATAGTATACCATTTTTATTAGAAGTTCCCCCAAAGCCACTAGTTCCACAAATGCTTGCTATACATTTTTACATAGTTATTCTGAAATCAACTTCAGAAACCCATTCATATGTTTCACCAATTCCTGAAGTACAGCATCCCCTGGAATTATTTTTTTCAGGATCCAAGAAGTTCCCTAAAGATGGGCTCCAGCATGAGTCGGAAAACTCAGAAAATAAAACCCCTGGTCCCAGTGACTGACCCAGATTGGATCCTGCAACATTATCTGGGGACACGTATATTCACCTTCATTTTTTTTCAGTTACTCAAGCCAGCTGTGGTATATAATCTGCTTCCCACCAAGTACTATTTATATCCACCAATTACTCTTATGCATTCAACTTGGAAAAAAATATTTGAAAGACAATGCGTAAGTTTTCTCAAAATACAGACCAGTAATGAGCAACTTTTGTAACTCAGTTCTGTGCTATGAGAAGATATGCTATATATCCAAGCAATTCTTAAAATGGGAAAAACACTCAAGTTGTTATGTAAGACCAGAAAGATTTCATAAAGCAGCAGTCATGTTATTTACAATTTTAAAATTGTTTTTAAACTAAAAGATATATATAACTCAGTAACTGCGATGTCATAAAACAATTACAGGCATCAGTGTAACAAAACAAAACTATGTTAGTGCAGATACAATAAAGTTGAGGTAACGACAGAAATGAACATCAAAGTTTGAAAGAACTCTGGTTGACAGTGGAGGTCAGGAAGGCCTGGCATGCTATGGTCCATGCACAAAAAGTCAAACATGACTTAGCGACTGAACAACAAAAATGACAATAGAAAAACTCACTTAAGGGTTTCTTAAGATAGGTACCCATATAAATCTTTTCAATAAGTAAAAAATAATATGCTTATATAATAAATATTCTACATTTGTTACCATAGTAATTATTATTCATGCTTTGCAAAGAGGGTAATATTATTGCTATAGTCAGCTATTCCCCAAAAACTAATGTAAAAATTTAAGAACACTGCAAATCAGACAGTGGCTGAGCCCATTGATTTGCTAAGCTTTAGAACAAGAGGAAAAGAGTTAATTGGAAAATAATGTTTTTATTAACCAAACTTTGAATATCTGACTTTTTAAAGGAAATTGGTGGCTTATTACAACCAGGAATTATCTGGTTTGTACAAGTTTGCTTGCACTTTCTTTGATTTTCACAATTTCTGGGATGGCTTATGGACAAGAGAAATGAAAGGGACAGAACGGAAAAATAAAAATAAAATTAGTGTCATGATTCACCAACAGTGTATTTAATGACACTGGCATAGAAGGAACTGTTTGGTTTTTTTCTAATGCATATGTGAAACATATACAGCTGCTCCATTAAAGCACTAGACTTACATGGTTTATCTTTAATAATAAGTAGTAATGTTTCTATACAATATGGATCAGCAACTTATGACCATGAGGCTACATTTAGCCCCATATCTAACCAACAATTTAGACTCTTATTAAAATATATTCCCTGACAAACAACTACCTGAAAAAAAGGTTTCAGAAAAGATGGGGAAGATAAATGCACCCTCAAAAGAGGACCTATGTGTTTGTGGTTTAGATCCATCTATTATTATTATTATATCTCCAAAGAGTATCCAAAAGACAAAAATTAAGTTTCTATTTAATCTAAAACAAGAAAAATATGTATTGTAATCACTATTGGAATACTACATAGTATTCCTTCCATTATATCAACTCATCTTACATAATAATCCAGAACCTTCCTTCCCTTACCGCACACATAACTAATGCTGATAAATATTTTATCAAACGCTTTACAAATTAAGCTAACTTTACTATTAAATTTTTATGCAGTGGGGTTTCCTTCTTTCTCCTTTCTCTTCCGATCCTCTTCAAAATGGTGCACCAAATCTCTGAAGATGATTTTGAGAAAATCCGTTCTTCCTCCTGATTCCAATGACCAGTCTACCAGCAGAAGGAATTAATCCTTTCTACCTATAACACAGTGTAAAACTACCAAGCACATTTTGTGCCATTCTTTCTTTCAATGTTGTCAAGTTAGAACTAAAACTATGGATGGCCATCAGGTGTCAGTAAAAAGATTTAGTACATTTCTGGCATTTAGTAAATTTTCTTTTTTATTTTTTGCACACATGTGGTAGCCATATTTAACCACTTAGTTAAGAAAGGGTCTATTGCAAATCATTAGGCAACACTGTTTTTGACTAATTTCCCAGCAGCAATGTAAGAAAAATTGCAAGAAAGGCACTGATAAATGCAATAATATTGAGATGCAGATAACAAATATGTTTTTATGCATGCGTGCCTGTGTGTGGAGATAGGGAGGGGAGGGAGGGAGGGAGAGAGATGGATGGCAGGAAAAATCAGCTAAATGTTGCAAAAGAATACAGATTATAAAAGACCAATTATAAAAAGCTGTCAACTGCATCAAAGAATTATCACTCAAACTTTCTAGGCTACCAAAAGTGAGTTCATGCACGTGGTAATCACTTACTTTTTGAAACCTACTATGCCTTTACTTATTTATAAAGAATAAAGTATGTGCATGAGCAAATCTTAACTTTAATTTGGGTTCACTGCACAAAACACAGTAGTTAATTGTTTAAATAACTTTTTGAAACTGTAAACATCTATTATATCTAATATTTAATATTCAAGGTCTTACAGCTCTTTTACAGTAATCAATTTCATTAGGCACAGGAGGAAGTACTGTGGCCTAATTTTGATGCATACTTTAATAAAAAATATCAGATACCCCAGAATTTTTCTCTGAACTTTCTCAAGTTACAAAGTAAGATTTAGGCATTCCCATTAATAAAATATGATTCTAGCTGTACTTGATGGAAGCCAACATTACAATATTTTACAATAGGTTTGCTACTTATGAAGTTTTTTTTAATAAATAAAAAAACCACACATATGACCCTACTTATACACATGGGAATTCCATGTTCAAACAATTAAGTAATAATGGCACGTATTGCAAGCTGATATGCATTTTAAAAATATACTTCCATTTGTAGACATCACAATACAGTAACAATAACTTAAGGATATGCATCCATTGCTTTGAATCATAGTTCTCATTTTTGACTGCCAACGAGAACAGAGTGTACCTAAGTTGTTGACACTAAGACAGTATATGGGCAAATCTATATTTTGAAACTGTTCAAAGCAATTGTGCAAAAATGAAATTCTGAGCAACTAGAAATTAAAGATTATGCAACACTTACAAACTATGAGAAATAAATGTATTGCCAGAACACTATTACAGAAGCTGAATGATTTTTTTAAAGCAAGTAAAGCTATATTTTCTCCATTACCTTATGAAATAAAAACCCATAATCATTCCCATAATTTTTTCCAAACCTGTCCATGAATAAGTGTGACAAATTGAATTGCCTCTATTTTCCGTCTCCTATCTCTCTCTTCCTCTCCTCCAAAAATGTCAGTTCTTAAATGTATTTGTCACAATAATTTAGTCTGTAATATTGAATAGCTTCTGAATTTAGCTGATGAAAGTTGAGAACTATTGACAAGTCCAGCCTTTATTTTGCAGATTTTTATTCAGTATATCTTCTGAGAACATGTGGATGAAGGATGCATTTCTATGGATCTGAACAAAAAACTCTCCGAAGATAATGTCAGCATTAACATTAGCTCACCTTGATTGAGTCTAATAATTCCTCAATTACTCATAAATAATACTCATTGTGTCAAAGAAGTGTCAGAGCGTCACCACTGCATGTGTTTTCTCTGCTGAAAAAGACACTTAATCCTAATTTACTAAACCTAACACATGGGTTCTGAATAAAGTATGATAAAAGATGCTCTTGTGGACTGAGAGATAGTTAATAAAGAAAAATAGAAAGGAAGAATAAATGTCTGAATTTATTCCCATGTTCACTACATGTGTAAAGTAATGTGAATTAGGTATTGGCATTTGGACGAGTTTGTTTTACTTGTAATAAATGATTTGGAGTTAGGGTTATGTAGCGTAGTAGTCATGTTTGCTAATGATACAAAGAGTTCATGTTAATACATGCAGAAAAGGGCTATGTAAATGAATTTCAAAATGCTGTTCAGTGTACTGTAGAACATACAGAGAGAATCCAAACTCCATTTACATATCAACATGATCTTGGCATCAAGTAGACAATTAATGAAAAAGTTAAGTTAGCTGCAGCTGCTGGATAAAAAAAAAAGGCAAAGTCTGTGCAAGGAATTAAGAAGGAAACTGAAAATAGATACAATAATGCTGATATAATAATGTTCTAGTTAGTAAAAGTACAGGCAGTCCCTGGGTTACAGAGGAGACCCATCCCTAAGTCTGTTTTTAAGTTGAGCAAGCACATACGTAAAGGGTACATAAGAGGAAAAATATATATGATTTAACTTAAAATGGTGGATGATGTTCTTCTTCGAGCTGGCAAACTGCTGAAGCCACACAATGTTTTTCGTGAGTGTCACAAATGTGTATGTACTTTATTGCAAACCTCTATACTTAACTCAATTCTTTTAATAGAATAGGCTGTATAGCAATCAGTTCATAAGTACAAGTTGTCCTTTAGTTAGGCAATCTTATCCCAGGGCGTTGTATTGTTTACCATGCTCAGAGAACTGTAACAACTGCACAAGAATATTTTATTGCTGAAAGAGGTACAAAACGAAGGAACACACATAGCAGTATCACAAGCCTGGATAGAGGGCAATAGCTTCCAGGCATCCAGTATATATAAGGCATGCTTCCTATGATTCATTAGGAAAGCAACTCTCCTATGAAATGAGATTACAGCAATAAGGGCACTTTAATTTGAGACA